TACTATATAGTAAACAAGTAGTTAAATAATATTATATAGTATATTAGTAAATAGTTGAAAGCTAAAGTATGTAAGTTAACAGTTGAAAGCTAAATATTGAAAGCTAAATGCTAAAATAACAATGTAATACAAGTAATACAAGTACCGTAACAATGTAAAATAGTAGTAATAATAATATAGAGAAATCCCATCCAAGGGATTGTGTATACAACATTATATAAATAGATAGGCATCTGGTATAAGTGTAACAAGGTCCCGATGTACTATGATTGGGGAAAAGCGATTTAAAAAAAAAAAAAAAAAAAAATAAAAAAATAAAAAAATAAAAAAAAAACCTAACCTAACCTAACCTGGGGTGCGGGTCGGGTAACCTCCATGTTGGCTTCTTCGTTTCTTCCCCCGTTGGACTGCGGTCCTCGGGAGCGGAAGCGAGGGACTGGTGCACCCTGGACAACGGTTAATAGACACTGTCTCTGTCACAGAGCTCTGTATGTTAGCCGATTGACCGATAACCCGACAGCCCTTTTCAGGGCTAGCTGACCCCATTGCACGAGGGGGTCGTGGGATGGCGGGCCTGCAAGGCCCGCGGGGGGGGATTCGTAGGGATACAACAGCCCTTTTCAGGGCTCGCCGTTCCACCCAGTATCCCTCTGCTTTTCGGGGGGATACTGGGAGGAACGTTGTAATCCCTTAGGGATCTAGGGACGGGTCGACCCACTGCTCGCGCAGGGGCAGACAGGCACTCGTGCCACCGTCGGAGTTGGGAGAGTTGGCTTCCCTCCCGCGTCGCGTAATCTCCGGGTGATCGACATACAAACCTGAGTGCTAGCCACACTCAGGAATGCCGTGACCTCGGAGGACGTGGGGCTTGCCTTCATTGGCCGGCCTGTGTCAAGGAAAAGACTATAACACCCGACAGCTAAGTCGCTTAAAACCTATGGATACCGGGGGACCTCCATAGTATTTACCCCGCTTCCTGGAATGAGCGTCACCCGGGAAGTGTACTTTTTTCGTCTCATTCTCGTGGGATATGATATGGATGACTTATTAAAACAAAAACAAAAACTGTTGAGGTAGAAGGAATGGAGACGGAGATCGAGACGGAGACCGCAAGGTCTCGCGTCTCTCTCAGAGAGGTGGTGCCGGTGGTGGTGCTGGAGCGGATGGACGCTGCCAGCACACCTGGAGGTTCGCGCTCGTCTTCCTCAGCAAGGGGAAGATTCTGGCGCAAGCGAACCAACTCTGCTACAGACTTGGATTCGCCGAGCGAGGGCGATTCGCGAAGCGAAAGCCCAAAGCGCAGTCGTGGCCGTCCCCCGAAAACGGGGAAATACGTCAATTTGGCGAGGGCCAAGGCCGAGCTGAACGCGGCCAAGGAGCGGGAGCTCGAGCTCCGCGCTGAAGAGGAGCTTGCGGAGGAGCTGCGACAGCAGCGGCAGAGGGCTCTGTGTCCGCTGCCCCAGTCCTGTCCGCAGCCCCAAGCGGGATTGGCATCCTCGGCCAATCAATCCCTCAGTGCGGAGCAGCTCTCGGGCTCTATTGAGGCGGCGGTGACGATGGTTCAAACCATCGCTCAAACCCCGTCGGCTTCCTCGCTGGCCCCCGCTCCGCTCCCGCGAAGCGCGACATGGAGCGAAGTGGCGGCTAGGCCGAAGGCGGCCAAACCAAAGGCGCCTAAACCGGCTCCAGTCCGGTCGGCTGCCCCGACCGTTGACACTCCTGCAGCGCCAGCCACCAAGAAGAGGAAACGTGGTGCCCGGAGGTCCCGCAAACTGCGCTCCCCGCAGACTGCAGCGATCACACTCACGCTGCAGCCGGGCGCCGCGGAGCAGGGCGTGACCTACGGGCAGGTCATGTCCAAAGCCGAGAGGTCAATAGACCTCAAGGCTCTGGGGATCGACGGCCTCCGGCTCCGCACCGCCGTAACCGGAGGTCGGATCCTGGAGGTGGCTGGCGCCGATAGAGCCCAGAAAGCCGACCAACTGGCTGCGAGGCTCAGGGAGGTGCTCGAGGAGGTCCGAGTCGCTAGGCCGCAGAGATGCGTGGAGATGCGCATCTCTGGCCTGAGCGACTCGGCCTCTAAAGAGACGGTGGCGGCGTCGCTGGCAGCAGAGGGGGGCTGCTCTGCCGACGCCATAACGGTCGGCGACATCAATCGCCCATCTGGCCGACAGGGCACTACCTGGTTGCGGTGCCCTGTTGAGGCGGCCAGAAAGCTGACCGATGGTCGCCGCATCGTCGTCGGGTGGTCAGTGGTCAAGCTGACTACCCTGGAGCCCAGCCCGGTGCGGTGCTTCCGCTGCCTCGAGCCGGGGCACGTCGGGGCCAGGTGCACTGTGGCCACAGACCGCAGTGCGCTCTGCTTCCGGTGCGGTGCGGGCAGGCCGGCCACAAGTCGGCCACCTGCTCAGCGGAGCCCAGCTGCCCCGTCTGTTCGGCGGAGGGTGCAGCGTCCGGCCACCGTCTTGGGACGGCGGAGTGCAAAGCGGCCTCCCGGAACAGGGGCCAAAAAAGAAGAGCTGCAGGTGGGGCGAAACCCACACCCTCGCCCACCCTGCCGCCAAATGAGGAGGTGATGGACACCGCCCAAACGTAATGGCCCAAATCTCCATACTGCAGGCCAACGTCAACCACTGCGTCACGGCTCAGGACCTTCTGGCCCAATCCATGGCGCAGTGGCAGACGACAGTGGCAGTAATCGCCGAGCCGTACTACGTTCGCGACGGCCCCAATTGGGCCAGCGACGATTCGACGTCGTCCCTGCTGCCTCGGCGACTCGTGTGGGTGGTCCGCAGGGACATGTCTTGTGGTGTTCCACAGGGGTCGGTCCTTCGGCCGCTCCTGTGGAACGTAGGCTATGATTGGGTCCTGCGCGGTGCTAATCTTCAGGGAGTCGGCGTACTCTGTTACGCCGACGATACCCTAGTCACCCCGCGGGCCCCAACATTCCGCGACGCCGCCGTACTTGCCACGGCAGGCGTCGCTCGGCAGGCTAACAGTCGCCCTGGAAAAGTCTGAGGCCCTCTTCTTCCACGGGCCTCGACAGACGCCGCCTCGAGATAGGTCGATTGTGGTGGGCGGCATCCCCATCGCTGTCGGGACCAGCCTGAAATATCTCGGGCTCGTTCTCGACAATCGGTGGCGGTTCACAGAGCATTTCCAGCAATTGGCACCGAAGCTGCTGGCCGTCTCCGTGGCACCGTCTTTTACGAGGCGGCGTGTCTGATTGCGGGCAGTATCTCCTGGGATCTCGAGGCCGGCGTCCTCGAGAGATTGTACTTGGACATTACTTGGAGGTCGGCCGCTTCCGGAGGAGATCGATCGCTGGAGACAGTTAGCTCGCGATGATCTCTTCCGAAAATTTTGCGCCTTTAGGTGTAGATTTTTTTAAAGTTCCTTTATTACTTAGTGCACACCTAGGTCACCTAAGGACCATTTGCGCAACATTTCATTCACCTAGACCCAGCAGTTTCAGCTGTGCGTTAATCGATCAGTCAGTCGCTGTCGCGTTCTTTTATAGATGTAGACGATATTAGTTCTATTGAAATTTGCTCAAAACTATTTGGTACATTGGATTTCTAAACATGGAATTCTACACATTTTGCGCCAATAATTTTGTCATGTCATTGTCGTGATCATTCTATCAAGAATAAATTTTCAGGTGTTTTAGGCATTCTTGATACTTTAACGCTACAATTTCACATCAAATAAAATTATGTATGGGAACCTGCTAAACAGTCTTTTCTTTCCTTTAAACAGTCCCACAAATTCCTTAAGTGATACTTTTATTTGGCTGACATAATGAGGATCCTTGTCAGTGGGTACGCGCTGCTTCTCGAACCAGTACGTGTTGCAGCGACGACTTCCCCAAAAGTTCGCAGGCCGCTTCCTAACCTAGCCGGCAATGCGTTTGCGGAATGGTTGCACTGTCCGTACAAAAGTCAGGACATAAGCGAAAACTACTAACATCAGAGAAGGGCCTAACTTTTTGAAACCGTTTAGCGACAAAACACAAAGGTGCAAAATAAAAGGCTGGTTCAGTAAATAATTTTTATTACAAGACAAAGTTATCGCATGTAAACGCAAGTCTCGTAAAGTGCCGCACCGTGCGCGTGCTCACCTATCCGATACATTAGTCACTAACAGTACTTAACAGTTTCCTTCTACGTAATAAAATCTAACTCATTTTCAACTTACATTAAATTCATCATATACATTGAGATAGGTCTGACGTCACAAGTGTAAGGGTGTACGTCTGTACGAGGTGTAGCGGCGCCATCTCTAGAGCTCGTCGAATGCTCTTGACGACGTCACCCAATCGCGTGCTTAGACGCGCTTAAGCGTCACGCTTTTGTCTGTCATTCGTTTGTTCCATTTGTGACACAAACTGCGTTTGGTGTAGCATAACGTTAAGTACTTAGTTCTTGAAAGGTGAGCTACAAGCTTTAAGAACGCGGGTGCACTCGGCAGTACTGCAAGATACACGGGCATACTTAGTATTAGATTAATGAGCATTCTCATTTAACTTTTTGTACCTAACTTTTTAGGTCAAATTGTGTGAAATGAAGTTGTGAGCTTCCACGAACAAAATGAATTAGTCGCTACATTCGTTATGCATCACCTACACCGCCGACATGACGAGATGAATCTCCGGGGAACACAAAAGCGCGATGTGGCGTCGTCCACCGCTCGCATGCTCTCCCACAGACAGTTTCGCTTTACTATTTATCGAAAATGTGGTCGTTCACGTGAGCAGATCGTCAGTTAACACTACGAGGGGCCGTGACACTAGCGTTTTGCTAATTAGAAAGAATTATATATTACAGGATACCAATATATACACAAATGTGTGAGCGCCGGGGTAGATCGCCCGGCACCGCAGTGTCGATGTGTGCTAAAGACTTGGAGGTGTGTGAGTGTTGGACACGGGGTAGTGGTGACGCGTGAGGTAGTAGTGCTATATGTATGTACGTATATACAGTAGAGGGCCAGCTGCGAGACTACTTGTTCTCCTCCAACAGCACCAGATCATCGGCGACCACGTCTGACACGTGCAGGTACACGATCCAGTACATCAGATTGAAGCACACGAAGCACACCGGAAATACGATGCGCGAGTACTTGTCGATGTCAGACGGCGTCATGCCCAGGAACTTGCCAATGTCCTGTCGAATAAACATTGTTTTATATACCTACACCTACATATATATCATCAAAATCCTAATTTTTATATACTACGTGGGGCATACTGAAAGTTTCTGGACCTGGCCACTTTCAATAAAAGAATGAAAAAACAATTATGGAATTTGAAAATGGAACTCTTTGGGAACATTTTACTTTTAATTTGCGAGACTGTCATTTGTTTTTTCATGGGTCCTATCGAAAATGGTGTCGTTATCAAAATAAATTTAACTCCATTCAAAATGAATTTAACTGTAATTTTGAATGTACATTTTCGTTCAATTCTTTTTTTATGATTTTTTTGTGGCTTAAGTCTACAATAAAGTTGCCAGAGTCTTTAATTGGCATTTGGCGATGAAGCACCATGTCGCAGCTCTGTGTATTCGTGGTTTGGAGAATTTAGACGTAGACGTGATTGTCTCCATGACGAGGTATGTGAAGGTCGGCCGGTGACTGCCGTTATACAGACTCTAATATTCACACCGTACGATAACTTATTTAATCTGACAAAAAAAAATGCCAGCAAATTCGTACTTTGTTAGGCATTAGAATGAGTCAAGTGCAAAACATTTTACATGTGCATCTGAAGGTTCGGAAGCTTTGCACTCGATTGATATCGCATGTCTTAATTGAGGAGTAGAAACGACTGCGTGTCCAGTGGTGCCGTAAAATGATAAAAAAGTTTAACGGAGGAAAGTCATTGTCGTGACAGGTGATGATCTGGGTGTATTGGTTTCGACCCGAAAGAAAAAGCCAGTCGGCAGAATGGGTCTTTCTTTTTGAAGATTTGCCGACGAAAGTTAAGAAAATGCCAAGCACTGGTAAAAAATTGTTGCTTCTTGTTTCGGCAAATCAGGACATTACACTACAGTATCACTTGAAGATCAGAGGACAGTGACTGACTGCAGATTGGTACGTCAACACTTGCTTGCCCAGAGCCTTAAGCCCGTATTTTAAAAGACGTCTCAAGTATCGGTTGAACTCTGATTACCTGTAACTAGTTTTAGGTGCAGATCAAAACTTAAGTATCGCTCGTATTATAAAACGCATTTTAAGTTTTCCTCAGTCGAAACTAGTTTCATGTATTGATTTTAACTTACAGTCTGTTCTCAATTACTTTTCCGCATGATGGACATTATTATTCCGTATTACACTAATTACTTGAAAAATAATTTTCTTTCCAAACATACTTTCTTTCAACTTGTATAAAGTATACTATTGGCTAGTGTAGCAATGTTAACATATTTACAAGCTTGTTGTTCGTCCAAAATAATAAATATTAAAATAAAAATGACTAGGTATAGGCTATAACGGAACGTTCAAGTTAATTATCAACACTTGTCATGTTCAAATGTCAAACAATGTTTTTATTTTTTATATTACTAGAATAATATTATACTTTTAACATAAACCAAAAGGTTAATGCGATTTGAAAACAAGTATTGTGTGTAAAATGTGAATTTCAGTAAATTTAATATCAATTAAGGTGAATTGATTATAGTATGATAAGTAATTCTTTCGTAAATAAAGTAAAGTAAGTTTTTCGTCCGTGTGGTGACGGATTAAGAATACACCACCCCTATTCATCCCGTGGGTGTCGTAAGAGGGGACTAAGGGACAAAAAGTACGCAGAACAGCGGCACTGCAGAGAGAAGGAAAACTTGACACAAACCCTATAGCAACCCGTCTGGCCAGCGTGTATAGTAGTAGCGTGCATAGTAGGCCAAAATCACCGTTTGAGACTAGTTTCAGCTTGTCTCACGTAAACAAAGATCACAGCTCTCAATATTTATACCTGAGTTCAGATTTTGACATAAAGCTCGATCTCAAATAAGCTATCACTCACTTGAGTATGGATCAGTTAATCTCGTTTTAAGTGACGTTCAATAATAAAATCTCTACTTAAGTTATATTAGTTTTAAGTTTATCTATCTCTCTTTATTCGTTTTAAGACTAGATTCACGACTAAAAGATCTTTTAAAATACGGGCCTTAGAAAAAGTTCGTGAAAAGCGTTCTCGAAGCAATGTCCTCCTTCACCATGATAACGCATCCTCACAATCCGCTAAGGAACCGAGGACGCATTCCCCTTACAGCCCGGACCTCGCACCCTGCTACTTCTTTTTGTTTCCAAAAATTAAAGACAAATTTAGAGGCACACGTTTTAGGGCCCTGTATCGGCGGTGAATGCGTTCCATGAAGCAATTAAAGAGGTCCCTAAGGAAGACCGGTCCAACTGGTTTGTTCAGCGAATGCAAAATTCACTAATTGCCAGGTAATATACTTTGTAAAACAATAAATGCATCATAGTCTTATATCTTACTAGCTGACCGGGCAAACGTTGTTTTGCCATATTATTATACATTATTTCTAGGAAATATTTAAAAAAAAATTAGGGGTGGTTCACCCTTGTCATTTAGGGGTATGAAAAATAGATGTTGGCCGATTCTCAGACCTAGCCGATGTGCACACAAAATTTCATAAAAATCGGTCCAGCCGTTTCGGAGGAGTATGGTAACTAACATTGTGACACGAGAATTTTATATATAACATTTATCACAATCCAGAAACTTTCAGTATGCCCTAAGTATAGATCTAATGTTGGATTCTGCAGAATTTGCGTGGACAATAAAATATAAAAAACAATAATTTTGGAAGTTGGCTTAATTTTACACTTATCACCATATATGTATAACACAATCTGGTATTGATATTTATAATGTTAGTGTGCCGGGAAAGGGGAGGTGTTTTTCAGCCTTAAATTGTTCAGGGGTAATGGTGAGGGGTCCGAGTAATGATTGCCGATATATGTTTATGCGACGTCACATGCAAGGACTAGGTGCGGCGACCCACCTTCCCGCCGTGCAGCGCGTGCAGCGGCGGCCCGGGGTTCTCCTCCAGCGTGCTCTCCAGCGTGGCGCCCTTGGAGTGCGCCTTGGGGTCGCGCGCCTTGTAGCGCACCTCCTGCTGAGGGCGCGGGGGCGGGCGCCCAGAGCAGCTCCGACCCGGCGGCGCGCCGCCGCGACCGAGGCTGCCGCCCTGACGTCCGCCCAGCGTGTGAGCTTCCCACGCCACGCCGCATTCTGTCGGCAACTTTTTCTCCGACATTATCTTTTGTATTGCGACGAATCGCTGTTTCCTCATTTGGATGCGTTTCGACATGTAGCCCACCGTCGCGTACTCTGCAAAGGTACAATTAACCATCGTGTCGGTGACGAAAATTACGGTGACGATATAAGTCAGCCGAGCGGAGAGAAACTCACCGAGCAAGCTGGTGAACACCATGACGAAGCACGTCCCGAGGTATACGTCGATAGACTTGACGTATGATATTTTGGGCAGAGCGGCGTTAGTGGAAGACATGAGTGTGGTCATGGTGAGCACTGTGGTGACGCCGAGCTGTACGCGCGCCGGCGTAGCGTTGCGGTTCAACCAGAACGACACCCAGGAAATTATGACGATCAATCCGGACGGTATGTAAATTTGAATCAGGTAGTAGCCCATCGAGCGCACGAACTGTATTTCACACGCCAGACGAGAGTAGTTTCCTGCGGTCGTTAAACGTGGACGATAATATCGTTATGTAAAATAAATAAAAAATATATTATTCTTTGCTTATAATATATAATCTAGGATTTTTTTAATTTCTATCGTAAAAAAAATCGTTTGATTCGAACCTGTTGTGAGAGATATTTCCATAGCGCGCTGGCGATGTCCGAGCACTTTAAACTGCGGCAGCGACACTTCGTTAGACACACCCACCGAGTTGGGGCCTTCGTTCCACTTGTAGCGGATGTCGCGCATCGTGTATCCAACTGTGGCGTAGAAAATAGTGTCGCGTGACGTGTAGGGCGCGACCAGTGCCGCTGTCGTGTCGCGTCCGTCGCGAGGCTTGGGGGCGCGCGGCGCGGGGCGCGGGGCGCGGGCGCGGCGGGGCGGCGGGCGCTACTACCTACTGCCAGCGATCATTACCTGTGGTGAGAGCGACGACGGTGGCGCGCTGCCGGTGGCCGAGCACTCGGAACTGCGGCAACTGCACTTCGCTGCTCATGCCGACGCTCGACGCGCCGTCTTTCCAAACGTACAGTATGTCGGTCATCGTGTATCCGACTCCGGGGACATGCCAAACACAAAACGCTATCACTCACGCCACGAAAGATCGCGCCGTGGCGCAACGCGACGAGCCGGTTGACGCTCGAGACGACCCGGCGGTGATGATAGAAAAATATACTGAACAGTAACTACGGTGCGCGACTATGTGTATGGTGGTGAGGGTTGCGGTCAACACGAACTACGACGAGCGCATGCAACGTGCTAAACATGGGAAAGCGGCGAGCCCGCCTGGGAGGTGGTCCATGGCGACGTGCGATGGTGAGTGATGAACGTGCGTGAATGCGAGAAGCGTGCGAGAGGAGTGGGTGGTGGGTGTCGCGGTGCCCCGTCGCGCCCGCGGTGCGACGTCTCAGTGTCCGGCGTGCGCTGGCGGCGCTCGGCCGCGCGGGTGCTGTATGCGGCGGTCGCGACGACTGTCGGTGCTGGTGGCGCGCGACACGACAGCGGAAGCCTGTGCCTGTGCGTGTGCACACACAGACGGCTCGACGCTTGCTCCGTGAACACAACACACACACACACCGATGTCGGTGTTTACTTAAACGTTTTTAACTATTTTTCTATCATCTGTGAGACGTTAGCTTCTTACGAGCAACTTTATAAATCTGAGACAATGTTATTACTTATAGATGAAGTTATAACAAATCACAATAAGAAAACCGAATAGCATCGTCGCCGTCGTCTCACCCTACACGATCAGGTTCTAAACAAACTGGCATTCAACATCAACAACATTAGACAACTTTATAAAACATAAACAGTTGCGCATATGTCTTTTGATTCATGTTAACATGTATAAGTCATAGACATTTAAATAGAATCAAATAGAAACCAGATCGCAGCGCATGGACGCGGAGGGTGGTAAGTAGGTACGCAAGGTGACGCGTGGAGGCGCCGGCGCTCATGTGTCGGCTGGCACACGAGGTGCAAGTGGTATGGGCACACTTACAGCTCTCGATCTCGATGTGGCACAGCTGCCGGTCCATAGGGAAGTACTGCAGGTTCATGGGGCACGACGCCGTGATGGTGAGTCTGAAAACACGCACAACAGTGTCCTCAGTATTTCTAGCGCAACAAAAGCTCAGAATACGCACGCGACGGGAAAGTTCGCGCTCACCTGATGCTGCGAGTAATGGAACCCGAATGATGTATGCGGATGAACTCGTTGCTAGTGGTGGCCGAGTGGAAGTAAGACTGTTTCTCGTTCACGAAGAACGTATCCGGCACCCAAATGTTGCGGATAAATTCTGAGCCAACAGACAGGGTCTCGACGCCTGCTCGTTTCTTATATGCAAGCCGAGGATCGGTCCAAAACTGTCTGAAGTAAAAATCCAAGGTGAAGTCCTGAGGGAACAGACATTGCACGTTGTAGTGTAACGGAGCGAGCGGCGGCGCGGGCAAAGCCCGGCACGCCTGGCAACTACGGCCCGGCCCACCCGCTCACTCACACCGCTCACTCAAATAACAGAGAATAGACTAGTCGCGCAGTGCACGCCGTGCTCGCGTGGACAGTACAGTGGAAAACAAGTGCATTGTAACAATCTGGCAAAATAATTTAAGTAGGTACTATTCTAATATAAACACTGTACAACATCGAATACACAAGACAGCGACAAGCGTCAGTTAGTTATATATGTACTAAAAGTGAAAAGTGCAGGAGGAGTAGAACAACCTTCACATGTCAATGTGTGATAATTACCCACACTGCCAAATTATAGCCTGGTACGCACTAATTGATAGCCTTTTAAATAAGTGGGAACAACGAAGCCATTGCCCAGGGTTAGCTAGCTAGGTACATTTATTATTAGCCTACGTAGGTAAGTTGTGTTATTGTTCCTGTTCGCATCCCTAATAGCTCGAGTTCTACTTCATTTTAATACGCGCGTTTATAATGGTTTGGTAAGTTCGCATGTATTTATTACTAAAGCAGGTAAGACACGAAAGGGCGATTAAGTAGTGGTCGTGTGCCGCGCGGCGCGTTGCCTGCTGCGCCGGGTGGTGTGGGCGGTACTGCAGCACGCTAGCGCGATGGCGCTCCGGCGGGGCCAGCACCATCGACTAACGAGTTTGTGTGCGTGCTTGTGCTTATGAGGTCTTGAGGTGTGGGGTGGGTGCGAGCACGCCTCGCCCTGAGGCGCGAGCTCGTCGCGGGTCGCGTCTTGAGGCGACGGCCGCGCCGCTGTCCTCACCACAGTACATAGAGAACAATGCATTACCATAATACACAATACATATACGAGAATTACTCACATAACTATACAGATAGAAGGAAATGGAAACTAATACAACTTTATAGTACGCGCTAAGTGGTCAAGGGTGAACTAAAACTGTAACACCTTTTTACTCGTAGAGCCAACAGCTGCCACTTCGAATAGGTTCCTAAGTAATACAGACATCATGAAACACTCAGGTCAGTTAACGTATGCTTCTCCCTGGGAGTAAAACGGCCACATTTTACTTCACTAAACTAAACTTCTGCCATAAGTGTTAATTTTCTAGAAAACATAAAGTTAATTTATTTGTGTTAGAGATCCTGCTGAAAAGGCCTTTAAAAACTGCCTTTTATCTGCGCTCCATACGCCCCCCAGAAACTGCCGCCCCTGAAACGAGCCCCAGCGCTCGCTACTTCAATCATTCATCATAATACAACTATTGATCGAGGAATGGCAAAAATAAACTTCGTACTGAGTGAAACGGCAGCGGCCGCATCATGCGGCGAGCTCCTGTCCGCAGGTGACATGCCTCGGACCGCCCGAGCCTTGTCGGCTTCAATCTAATGGACAGGTAATACCAAGGTAATACCAAGGTTTAAATGATCGAACTTCGCTGCTATTTTTTTATCAAGGGATTTTTTGAATTTACAAATTACCTTTATGGTAAGTTCATTAAAATATTTTCCTACACTCTCATGTGTATCTACGTAGTAACATTTCGCTGCAAAAGAACATAAACATTCATGATGCAGCCCTTCAGGTTATTTGTTATCAGGTGACAGGCCACGCTGACCTTCTACGGTGATACTCTAGAAGTCTAGCTAATCTAAATCACCGTTACCGGTAACAGTGATTTGCCATCCCAGTTACTTACGAGTAGGTAAATCATTAATTTTCCTAAGATGTTTGTTACTTTTTCACGCAAAAACGGTTAAACGAATCTGGATAAATTTGGGCATAGAGATAGATTATGTTATTATATTATTCTTTTTATCGCGAATGTACTTAGTGTCAAAATGTCAATATAATAGGTTTTTTCATGCTCATACTGTTATTTGTACGATACCTATGCCTAAAAATAATATAATATTTTACTACCAGGTAGCTGTCTATATAAGGAGTAACTTAGGATATTTTCTTCTCAGGAAACCCCTATAAAATTTCGGTCCGGGAATCGAACCCGAGGCCTCATGAACTGCAGTCGCGTACCTTACTGCACCACTAAGGTAGCGCTTTTCAAATTCTTTATTAATAAATTAGTTATTAATAAATGTATGTTCGTAGTTAAGAAAAAACTCGCTTGAGTGCGTGTCAGCACTGTTAGGGTTTCCTCGTTAGGACCGTGGAATTATAAAATATGGTATTTAATTATTTTGATCTCTTAAGTTGTCCTGACTTTCGATGTTTCCATTTGCAAGTTACTGTCCACTTTGAAAATGATAGCTAATATAAAATCATATTAATAATGGTTTGCCATGACTCATTACCAAACATGTATATTATTGGAGAAGTGAACATACTTCTTATACATTTGATTATAAAATGTATAAACTTATAATTGGTCATTGACGGCTATTATTAATTTGCATATTATACTTGATAGCTGTAGTTTCTCAAAGATAATAAAATAAGAACAAAACTATATCAGCGCCTCTAACAGTGTTACGGCAAAGACGTTAAGGCCTCACCACGCTATCATAGTTGGGTCTCGATTGCGTTTAGCGGTCGAACGCAGCTTGATCAAACTACTGAGCTGATTTTGATGAAATTTTTACAACTTCGAAAGATACTCGTATCAAAGTAAATTAAATGCTAGTATATATTAAGAATACAATGTCACCACCCCTTTTTATCCCGTGAGTGTCGCAAGAGCCGACTGAAGATGCAAACTACGCAGGAAAACAGCACTGCAAAGAGAAGGAAGACTTAAACTTCAACCCTATATATATATCTCAACCCGTCTGGTCATCGTGGTAAAGTAGGCTACAACCTCCTTTCTAAGGAGAGGCCTATGTCTAGTAGCAGACTGCTAGAGGCTGCAGATGATGATCATACATTCTACATTAAATAATTTTGTTTACGTGCTTGCGTAAATCACAAATTCAAGTTCATAATTTTATCGATATCCAGGTTCACACCTCAGAGTATATTTAGGAGAGCTAGTCCGGATAATCTTTCCTGAGCCATTGAGGCACGCAACTAAGATTTTACTTTGCGAAGAGTAGAATCTATCTGCAGTAGCTATGCTGACCGGGAGAGTTGCCAGTATTTGTAAGACCTTTTATGTTAGGGTATAAAACTTGGTCGCATGCTTCAATGTGATGAGACGTCATAAGACGTTGTGACGTCACAATTCAATTGTCTTGTGACGTCACAACATCTTATGACCTTAGGGTAATCGTGCCCACAACGGTGGATCCGCGCTTGGCTGTTGTCCTGTGTACTAAGACCGACATCATCAACCGTCAAAATTTGTTGCTACCCGGGACACAGAGACGCAGTCGTTGAATGTTGAATTTCAATACCAAGGCAGTAGAAGCGCAGACCTCAATTAGCGCACATCATCGAAGGTAATGAACCTGCTTTCTAAGGAACCCAATGTCCAGCAGTGGACTAGGAAAGGCCGTTGATAGTAATGATGAATGAAGGTAATTCGGTCGTTGTTAAATCTGAATCCAATGATTCTTATACGTGTATCTTGTTTGTTACACAGCTCGTTAAGAGGCTACAACTTAGTGTTATACTTGTGAGAATTACACTGGCCAGGCTACGTCACTACGGTAGTTGCGCTGCGCGGTCGAAGTGGCAGCTGATCGGCGGGTGTTCAAGTTACAATAGTAATGGCACAGTCAAGACGAGCGTTACCAGTCATCGACAAGATCACTATGAAATATAACGAGAAAGCGAACAGCGATCAGATCCATGAAACGCGGACATGCTCGCAGCCTCGAGTCTTGGGCTGCTCGGGCGCGCGTGCGAGCATACTGGAGCGAGTACCATGAGCACTTCCGACACGGAGCTGATAGAGAGCACATACATGGTGACGCCCACCTCCACCGGCGGACCTGCAAGCAAGCCCTGACATGTAGTATGAGCGGCGCGACCGGCGCGACCGGAGCTACGCCCGACCGAGGCGGACGGACGGACGGACGGACGGACGCGGGTGCTACGACGTGCGGTGCAAGTGCGCGGTGCGCAGAGCGCCCGCCGCTCGCCGCCACTGGGGACAGTGGCGGCGCGGCGCGGGCGCCTCGCCTCTCATCAATATTACGTTACAGCTAGGTAGCTACCATTTGCACTTCGGACAGAGAACTGATGGACAGCACGTACATGGTAACCCCCACTTCCACTGGCGGTCCTGGAAATGACACAACATACAGAACACGACTACGTATCGCATCCACAGTGACCGGCTTGCGCAGCCGGACAGTGCACGAAATATCACCATCGGCGGAATCTCCTCCTGTACGCCCAAGGCATACGTACTTTACACCGTTTTGATCTCGCTCTGTTGGGATACGCACGAGTACCAACATGTCAAACTTGTGGGAATGATTTGAAATGTACTACCTTATATATAATACATTCCTGTCACCTTTGATTGCTGGGTTCGCTTTTAGCATATAGGAACACTTAGGTTTCTCTAAGCTTTTACAAGACTTCATTGTCAGTGTAGTCTTAATTATTATGCACTTTCTAAAATCAACCGATGGTGATTTCTGTTGCACTTTACATGTAATATATTAAGAACGTAAGTACATATAAATAAAATGTTGTAATGGAGACGGGTACACGAGATACCGCAAGGTGTAGCCCTCGTAATCAGTACGAGTCGATCTGAAACTACATCACACGTACATGCAAACGATCGTATGATGACGCGACAGAAAAGGAGAACGATAAAACATGCCCAACTCACCTCCATAGTTCGGTCTCACTCTTTTGTCGTAACTTATGCTGAAGGAGTCCAAAATAGACGATATATTGACGTCCCCGAACATGCTCCCGCCGCCGCCGCCGCCGCTGCCACAGGAGGAAAATAATACATCTGAGACAAGAGCGATCGCAACGCAGGGTCTTTCACCAGCTCGGCCGCGGCCGAGCGCCCTCGGCCGTCGCGGCGGGCGCTCGGCGCGGCGCGGAGGCGGTAAGCGGTACTCACGCGACTCGGTCGGCGTGCGGCAACAGTGCGACGACGAGTGCGAGCAGCAGCGGCGCGCGGCGGGCGCGCGGCCGGAGCGCGCTCATGGCGCTCGTGTGGAGTGCGGGCGGCCGGGGTGGCGAGCGCGGCGCACTGCCGCCTTGCCGCCCTCCGCTACCGCCCGCGCCCGCGCGCCGCCCCGCCCCGCGCCGCGCCCGCCGCCATCGATCGCGCCCCCGCGGTACTTCGCCGTGCGACCTGAGGGCGGAGACACGTCTTTTAGTCCGTCTGCCCATTTGTGGCATGTGTCTATTCTACGCATTGTTAAAATGCTGGAAGTTTACATTTATAACGGAATGAATAAAAGTACAGCCTAAAATTTGGTATATTAAGTAAAATTATTATTAATTACGCGTGATGATGCGTGATGCAGTTATTCACATGCCTGTTTATAAATGTCCTGCGGGCGCTGCGCATCAGCTCCTCGTTATTACAAAATGACCTATCACTTAATTTGGCAAAGAACTTAATCAGGCTTTCTCGTTCCTTGATTTAGGTCTATATATACACCTATATATGACGCGCGTCTAGCTAAAATGTACGTGCAGCTAGAAAAATCAATCGGTTGTTGTTTCAGACGGGGAACGTTCTCTTATCTATGTCCAACATTATATATATATGTATATATTATTTTTGGAACCTGGTTGCATCATTAATTGTCAGGTCCAATTGAGAAGCCTAATCCAGTGGCGGATTATCCCTAAAGCAAAGTAGGCATGTGCCTAGGGACGCGAGGTTACAAAGTTTTTTGTGACAAAGAAAAAAATATGTGCCTAACAAAATAAGCACTGTGTCAGTGAGTATGCACATACTTACACAATATAAACAATTCTTTATTCAAACGAGACGTTTAAGGTGTACATATATTGTTTACATTCACTATTTCTTTGTTTTCCTTTTCTGATATCGAACGCTAAGTTTATTAATTTATATTAATTTACATAGACTATAAGTAAATCTGAACCGAGCAACTGATTATGGAATACACTACCTACTACTACTAGATAATAATGGAATGAATGAAAGTTATTCTTTTACAACAAATACGCTTTAAACAGTGAGCAATATCAGCTCATGAGTAACTTTCAAAAATTTACTTTGTGTGTCATGTCGGACATGTCAGATGAGCATAAAACTGAAGATATTATTGTACCATTTGTACCTATTTAATAAGTGACGACTATGAAAAACTTACACATATTTCTATGTTCTGTGCTCATTTGAACACTTTGTTCATTTTCATCATTTCATTTTTTATTATAAATGAAATGGCATATTTCTAGTATTTTTAGCAACTGTGACTAAAATATTTTAATATGTTTGTTAATATTATAGAAAGAACAACTGCGAATTCGTAATTGAGTATAATTTGAGCGTTGTAAAATGTAAATCTACGTGTTTTGAAACTATCGTCTAAGTCAGTAAAACCCCAGGAAAATAAAGAAAATTATTATAAGCTTATTTGATTATTTTTAGTTACTTTATCAATTTAGTGGTACCATTTTAGAGCCCTTTTTTTCAAGTAGTGGAAATACTGTCCAATTAAGTGTCGTAATATGGTAATCAGATTAAAGTTTTATGATTTTAAGTACTGAATCAATTAAGAATGTGTGGTGCATTATTATTATTTACGAATTCGGAAATCTTGTAGTAGAATATAAGGAAGTAAAAAATAAATAAAGTGGCAACTGCAACCTGAAAAAAAGCAAAGGTTTTTTGACAACTCTTGACAGCCAATATAAAGATTAAACGTTTGACGCGACAAGCGCCGCCCCCGATTATATTAGTTTAGGTTTAGAATTTTCAATTTTTTACATGTTGAAATAGGTAATTTTTTCCCAAACAACAATTTTTTTACACATAGATTCTAAAGAAATAACCGATTTTATAAATATTTTTTCACTACGAGACGATGCAATTTGGTTCCAATTTTTAGTTTTGAATGGAGACCCTTGTTCTTTTCTTTTTTTATTAAACGTTTAACAGCATATTTTATGGCAACATTACTTTAAGGTTCTCTGTTTATCATAGACTTAGAAGAATTTACTGCGCGTTTCGTATTCAGGTGTGCAGTGAATGCAGACCGAAAAGTCCGAGAGAGAAAAAGGAAAGCCCGTCTAATAGTTGTTTCTTTCTAGTGTTCTGATTGGTTCACGTCAACGTAATGCATGCCCCTCCAAATTCTGGAAAAATCTTTCTCTCAATTAAAAACAAATTAAGACATGCAGAAAAGAGGCAGGTATTGACCGCACAGAGGCTTTGTCTCTTTCTAGAGAGTGGGTTATGGTTTTGACAACTTTCTAGTGACTTTCGACCCTAGAGATCCAATCATAGAGTGAATAAGATCCCCAATCTTGCAAATCGAGAGAGATGGATATAGATAATTTCCTCTATCTGCTTCTAGTCGAGCTCTGTGGATTCCTTTTAGGAAATTGATAATCTCCAGCCTATTCTACGATAAAAACCATGCCCACTTCACGAAAGCCAATCGCAGCTTAGCTAAACAGTGACCGATGGAACTATCTGGTATTCATCTCTTTCGTTGCCTGTATCGCTTCCACTTGAGGCAGCTGTACCCCGTGTTCTCGCTGTGTTTATATCTCAATGTTTTCGACATGGAACTGAGCGACTCGGATTTATAAGAGTTGGCAATACTACACAGAAACTCTCTTTGTCATGAATAAATACACGAAAGTCAATGATTTTGTGTGATAATTTAGTGTATCTATATAGTAAATATCTACTGCTTCTGCACAACAGCACTGCAAAGAGAAGGTAAACTTGAAACAACCTCTATACAACCCGTCTGAATAGCGTAGTTTAGTAAGAAGGCCAAAAACTCCTTTCTAAGGAGAGGCCTATGTCCAGTAGTGGAATTTTAGATGCAGAGGCCGTTGATGATAATAATACACTAAGAATATGATAGATTGGTAGTCAAATAGATAGTTATTAGAGATTCATATTATTTAATTAAAACAAGTAATTATAAGTTTTTTGTACATAGAGTTATAAAGATTAGAATAGTTTGGTACTTTGGTATATTTCTTTTATTATTCTTTATTTTTTGTGTATTTTTGTATGCTTATCTTCCTCCTACGACCATGAAAATTTGTTCTACGTCGCTCTATTTATTATCTATAGGTGTTCAAACCTCTTTCAAACTACTATTATGTCAAAGATGATTCGCTGTCAGTGTCACAAGCGAGAATTTCACATTTGTCAATCAATTGTTACAAAATAAAAACAGAGTGCGGGCGGTGTCAGGTCAGTTTGCGATCGTTCGCGTCGTGTTGAGTAAATAGTCGCGTGATTCGTCATTCGATACGGAATGTCACTAATCTATTACTAATTGAGGTGGTGTGTCCGACGTCCAGGCCGAGAAGAGCGATCGCAGCACGCTAGGAAGCGTTGCGGGCGCATCAGGTGGGTTTGTTTACGTCTACAGCGCCATGTGACCGTTGTAAACTGCGCCGCGGCCTTCGTTGCGCCGCTGCACGGTCGGCCACGTGCTTACCAGTTACCAGTGTAATCCAGTTAGCGCTGAGGCTCCAATCGCTCATAGCGCGTCTTGTGCCACAGGTGCAGTGACAGCAAGCGCTGGGCCCATCAACTGAAGCCAAACGACCCGACGACATGAAGCCACAAGACGACTTCAGAAACGGTGACGGTGAGCTAAAGCATATCATTTAATTTTCGCCGGCTCATAGCACGCCTCGATGAGTCTACTTAGCTGTTTGACCTTGAATATCGACTCGACTGCTCACTGTCAACGCGACACCGTGATTGTTGTTTCTCAACGACTTTCATTACTACACTATACACATAATAATGGACAACTATGTGTTATGTGTACTGGGTTGGCAGGGCTGACTGGGTTCGGCCTAAGCAGAGTATCACAAGTCCTGTCTGTATGACTAGTAGTAGTAGACCTTTTACTGTGGACTGAAATATTTCATTATGTTGTTTGACTAATTTAATTTATGCATGTTTTCAGTCAGTGGTGCTACAAAATTGCCCTTTTTATTGAAGTCAAAAATTAATAGGTACTTGTTTGTAAGATAAGTTTGTCAGGGTGTGTCTGGTTGTATGGACTTTTGAGTAGTGTGATCTGGTTAATTTGATGTCATATGGTTGGCTCCAATAAGGAACCAATTGTAGCAATTGAGAGTGGGCACTAGCTCTATTGAACCTCATTAGTGCATGTACAAAGGTGAAGGTGGCTGTTGGCCTGTACCATGTGTGTCTGAAGCAAGCTGTTTCGTCGCTTGATTTGGTCAGATGTGATACAACCATTGTTAGGTGTTTAAACTATGCTTTTTGGTTGTTGCTGTGCTCTCCGCCTGCTCACCTACTACATTTGACCTTTCTATGCATGTGACTTGTCGTAATGTATGCATTATGGAGACGTTACCAGGAAACCAGATTTAATTTATATATCTAAGATGTTAATATTCCTCATTGCACTAGGTAGACCTGTCATACATTTTTGGATGTACTAATCTGTCTGGTGTATGATCTTATAATCCAGACTAAAAACAATATTGTGAAGACAAGGTATGGGTGAAAAGTAGGAAAAGAGTACTTGATGTTGTTGGGAGCTCTATTTCCATGATTTGTCAATTAACAAAAAAACATTATCGTAATAAAGAGTTAATCATGATAGATGATGAAGATATGGCTTGAATTATTATCTGCATGATAAGGAATATTTGTGTTAGTGTATCAACATAACTCCTTATAACTGATTACTTATTGTTGGTTATTAAATAGACATTTGAATGGTGATTAGCAGGAAAAGCAAAAGTTACTAGAGAATTGTTCTAATATTAAATGTCATTCTGGCACTCAACTGTTTACTTTCAGTAGCTTCTCTTTCAATAAATAGTCAAAATGTAGAACCACTCTCACTATGGTCTCAGTGAGACAATGCCAATTACATGTTAGTAATAATTTGCCAAAAGACAGAACACTTATTTGACTGTAACAATGTTATTATCCTAAGGGGGAACAGGTTATTATGTCCCTCTAACACAAAGGGGGGATCCTTCAGCCAGGGGAGGTGATCAGGCCTGGCCAAACTCTTTTTTAGTGGGTGCTTACAACAAAAAAAGCATCAGCTGCCAAAGGAGAATCGTCGACGAGCATCAGTATTTTAAATGTTAAAAACAATAAATTTAGTTTTTAATGTGACTTTTCAACACTGAATCTGTCTATAGAACTTAGCTTAAAATTAAATCTTACAAGGACTATAACTTAAATTAGTGACTGTTTCCATTTTAAGTTAAATGTTGCCATTATTTAGAATATACCATTAATGCTTGAATGTAAATAAACAATGTTTTAAAATAAAATGGTTAAATAATAAATACATGACAATAATTCATACTGTCACATCAAAATATATTGCAGTTTAGTTTAATCTTATTATTTACAATGAATACTTCAGTGCTAGTTTTGTCTTAATTGATACATGGTATCCCTGTTAAAAACACGATACATAATGTTGTGGTCATAATAAGAAAAACTAATGTCAGTGTCATAATATTTTCTCGTTGTTCTGTTACAATATACGTTAATAACAGGGGTTAGAGTATAAAATCGCCGTTGTATGGTAGTAGATCATTTGGATTAACATAAAACCTTCATGATGTGAGATTTTCGTGTCAAACTTGTTTTACATGATACCTATTGGTATTGGTTGTGGACTTCGGTTTCCGCATTTAGACTCAAGAGTGGTCCCTTATACGTCGAGGATTGGTTAGCTAGGTGAGCCAACCAAGCTCCTTCATGATACCTAATAGCATTCGTACGCCACCCGCGACAGACACGCATCGGTCGTTGCTCGCACGCGACTGACGTTCAGAGAACTCCGGGCCTTATTCTGCACGAGAAACCGTAGTAACTCTACAGGAGTTAGAAACAACACGTCATCCTTCGTACTCGCCAGACCTTGCTCCAACGGACTACCATTTTTTTCGTGTTTGGACAATTTTCTACGTGATAAAAAATATTCTTCCCAAGGGGCAGTACAAAATTTGACGTATCTAGATCCCCAGGAGTTCTATACTAAAGGCATAAATGAACTTAATTTAGATGGCAGCAATGTATTGATAATGAGGGTAAATATTTTACTTAAATAAGTATGTTACATCTTAGAAAGAGACGTTTCAAGTTTCAATTTTTCAGTACAAATCGGCAATTTCATACTTTGACCCCTTTAGAGAATACTCAACGCAGTCCTAATAGTGCAGTTCATACATATTTGGCACAGCAAAAAAGTGTAAAACTGTTTTTCACACTAAAATAGGCATTCTCCTTTCAAGTTTGTAGCCCCAGTAGTGTTAAGTAATTCTATATGTATAGATAAGAAACATTTTGTCCTTTGTGTAACAAAAACAAAGCCAGATAATGAAAAGCCTTTTTAATCCCCGTTGGAAAACGAGGGGTGTTATACGTTTAACCTTTTTTTTCTTTATGTCCGTTGGTTAAACGCAGGGCGTGTGTGGGACTCTCGGAGAACCGGTCTGCGATCGGTCGGTCTAAGGATCGTGTTCTCAGATTGGGCTAAATTTATTAGTGGCCATTGTGGCTGTGGAATGAAATCGGGAATGGAAACTGGTGACTTTAATTTTATTTTACTAAATAAATTAAATTTCTTTTTATTAAATAATTCTTAAAAAAAATTTGAATTTAGTTATTAATAACGAATTAATAAATAACTATTTGATTGACGATTTATGGTTAGCAAGTCCCTTGCTAAACTACGATTTGTAAAATAAATCGATTATTGTTTACCTCCGTAACCATTCAAATATAACAACACTAAAATTAAACACCAAATATAGAATGTAACTGCTTTAAGACATCTCTTAGGAATAAAGAATCCAGCGATTGTTTGAATTATTTGTTAAAGTTCAAACTGAAAATACACATATCCCAAGCCATACGCAGGCCAAATCCTAGTACGAGTCACAATCACGCCTGAACAGTGCGTGGTGATACTTATATAGCGATCTTTGTCATATATTAAGCTTTAATATAGTTATAATTGATGAAACACAAATTTAGCCCAATTCTTATGTCGGTTACTATTTTAAAAATTTAAATATGAAAGAATTTTACAGCTTAACTAAAACAAAGACCAATGTCTATTTAAGGTATAGATTATGTACATATAGGTATGTTATTAATAGAGGAGCCGACTGAAACGGGCATATAATAGTAGGTCGGCTGTAGCGGTCGATGACGGGAAGTTGTATATTCATGGTGCGGTCGATCATTTCATGAAATGATCGGTTACTCGTGATGTGACCTGGCCGAGTCGCAGTGCGATGCCTATATTATATTCACTAGAACTCGGTAATGTCGAGTGACGTTCGGGCGTGCAGATGGCGACGCTCGCGACGAGGACAGCGAAGGCGAGGAGGCGCTGGCTCTGGAGCACGAGCTGTCGCTGCACGACGAGGAGGCTCCGGCGCGCGCGCTCAGCGCCCTGAACGCGCTGCGCAAGTCGCGCCAGCACTTCGACACCGTGCTGGTGGCGGGCGGCGTGGAGCTGCCCGCGCACCGCGCCGTGCTGGCCGCCGCCTCGCCCTACCTGCTGGAGGCGCTGGCGCCGCCGGCCTCCGCCGCGCCGCCGGCCTATCGCGTCGACGACGTGGACGCCGAGGCGCTGCGCGATCTCATCGAGTACGCCTATACAGGTACGCGCGCCCGTCCGGCGCTCGCTCAGAGATCTCTCCGTAAGTCCCGTGTCCTGTGAATCTCGCGGCTCAGACGTGAAGTGGGCGGTGCGCAGGACGGCTGCGGGTGCGCGAGCCGGGAGCGGCGCGGCGGCTGTACTGGGCGGCGTGGCGCCTGCGCGTGGACGCCGTGCGCGCGCACCTCGCCGAGCGCCTGCTGCGGCGCCTGTCGCCCGCCGACTGCCTGGAGCTGCGCGCGCTGCCCGACCTGGCGCCGCGCCACCTCGCCGCGCTCGACGCCTACATCGCGCAAAACGTGAGTACCGAAATCGACGCTCCGTTCGCATCGTAATCGAAGCTTTGTTTTAGTATTACTTGTGATGCTCGTTAGTGAGACGACGTCATCTCACATATTTTACGAAGTGTGAATCGCTATCGGTCGTTCTTTTTTTCGACTCAATAAAACTGAAAGTTAGCCGTCTTTAGGGGGTGTCGTTCGTCAGGAGGCGATTCCAAAACGTTACAGACGTATATTATTACTCAAAAATGTCATTCGCGGTCAATAAAATAACAATTTTATAAACTTAAGGTAACGTTCGCGGGCCGCTTTTTACTCGATAAAATATCGTATAATCGAAACCCCACATCACATTAAAAGAACGAACATATAAAATCGTTCGTTTAATTCGTACCGGTCGTCGTAGTTCACGGAGATCTGCGCGACGGGGGCGCTGGCGGCGCTGCCCCTCGTCCGTATCGAGATGCTGCGCGAGACGAGCACCGAGGGCGGCGACGAGACCGCCTTCGCCGTCGCCGACGCCGCGCTCGTCTGGCTGCGCGACCAGAACATCGACGTCGAGGTGAGTATAGTCCCCCCGCCCTCCGCGCCGCGCCGCACCGCCCGCCTCTCTGACCGCCGCCGCGTCGCCGTCCGCAGCTAGGGGAGCTGTGCTCGCGCACGCACCTGGTGTACGTGGACGGCGCGGGCGCGCTGCGCGACTGCGGCGAGATGCCCGAGGCGCGCGGGGACGCGCCCGAGCTGCAGGAGTACCGGCGCGAGGCCGCCTCGCGCGGCCGCACGCCTCGCCGCACCGCGCCGCCTCGCGCCTCGCCGCCCGACGCCGAGCGCGCCCTGCCCGCGCTGCAGCTGGGCGCGCGCGCGCCTCGCGGGGACTGCACCGTCATAGCCGCCTGCCGGATCGAAGGTCGGTGCCGCGTCTTTTCGCGTTCCCTTCCGTGCGTACGAGAGACTTTAGGACGATTGATAGAGAGCGATGCGTGCACAGGTGCGACGCGCGCGACCCGCGCGCTGCTGGCGCTGCGCGGGCGGCTGGCGGCGGCGCGCGTGTGCTGGCGCGACGTGGCGGGCGGCGGCGTGCGCGGCGGGCCGCTGGGGGGCGCGCGCGCCGAGCCCGACGGCGGCGAGCGGCGCGCGCGCCTGGCGCACGGCCGCGCCGCGCTGGGCGCCGTGGCGCTGGGCGGCGCGCTGCTGGTGTGCGGCGGCTACGACCGCGCGCGCGTGCTGCGGGCCGTGGAGCGCTACGACCCCGCCACCAACGAGTGGTCGGCGCTGCCCGACATGCGCGGGCCGCGCGCGCGCTTCCCGGCCGTCGCGCTCCACGACCGGGTGTACGCCATCGGGGGTAGCGACGGCCACACCGAGCTCGACACGGTACGGATACGTCCCCGTTCGTTTCGCCGCGAGACTGCGGACGAACCGATCGAAACTTCGAGACTCGTTTACGGAGACGAATCGTTCCTCGTTCCTGAAAAAGGTCGATCTTATCGTACTCTTTGCGATGAAGGTGGGGAAGGAGCGCGATGAGACTCGAGACGATTTTTAGTCAGTTTTATTTTAGATACGTTCAATTATGAACCTACGACGCGATGTCGTTATAGTCTATCGCGACGGTGATATCCGAGCGAGACCGGCAGAAGGGCCGGAAGAGAATGCCGTCGTTCGTCCGCGTCTCCGCGACGTGACCTAATCGTTCTCTCCGTGCGGTCGACAGATGGACGTTTTCGCCGACGGCAAGTGGCGGGGCGAGGCGCGGCTCCCGCTGGCGCTGTCGCACGCCGCCGCCGTGGCCGAGCCCGAGAGCGGCGCGCTGTACGTGATCGGCGGCTGGGCCGCGGGGCTCAGCCTCAAGCGCGTGCTGCGCTACACTTCGGGCGCGTGGAGCGACGCGCCGGCGCTGAGCGCGGGCCGCTCGCAGTGCGGCGCGGCGCTGTGGCAGGGCGCGCTGTGGGCGCTCGGCGGCTGCGACGCGTGGCACTGCCTCGCCTCCACCGAGACGCTGCGCCTGCGCGGCGCCGGCGCCTGGGAGCCGGGCCCCGCGCTGCCCACCGCGCGCCGCTCCGTGGGCGCCGCCGTGTGGCGCCACGCGCTGGTGGTGGCGGGCGGCTCCGACGGCGCCGCCTCGCTGCGCCGCTGCGAGTGGCTGGAGCCCGCGCCGGGCCCCGCGCCGGCCTGGCGCGCCGGGCCCGCGCTGCGCCGCCCCCGCGCCGGGCCCGGCCTGGTGGCGCTGCCCGACGCGCTGTACGCGGTGGGCGGCTTCGACGGCAAGGAGTTCCTGTCGTGCGTGGAGTGCCTGTACGAGCCGGGCGGCGAGTGGACGACGCTGCGCGGCGCCCCGTCGCCGACCGCGCCGCCGTCGCCGGCGCCGTCGGCCGATCCGGCGCCGGACGCGCAGTGACCCCGCGCGCGCTCCTCCCGACGATCCGCTACCTCAAAGTTGTGAGCGAGGCGCCGCCCGGGACGGCCCGAGCCTAGCTTTACGTTGAGCGACGAGTGACGTATCGAGCGGACCGGTCTCGGTGGTCGACCGCTAAAACTACCGAGCGATTATGTAGTTTTAAGAACGATAGGCGCGGTCGACGACCGAATCGTTAGATATTTACGCTTCCGATCGCGATATTTCGAGAAGCGAGCGAGTCGCTGTCGAGCTTCGCCCTGGATTCAGTTTTGTGAAGAATCCCACCTTAGGAATATCATCACTGGCTATAACCGCGTCCGCTAGCTATCTGTGCCCTATATCGGTCGGACTCAGCCCCAGTGTAGTAGACGCCAGGCTCTCTCGCTCGCCTTCGCCTACTTCTCGTCGGCGGTATTATTGTTACATTCCTTTTTTGTAAGATATTTTCTATAAGCAGATGTATATGTGGCATAGAAGTTCGTACCTACTTCGTTGTAAAACTCATGAGGAGATAGTAAGGGTCGGCGGTGACGTCACCGCACCGCCCTTGCCCCGGTGCACTACGTATAGTTAAGTTTGTGTCCAGCGCGCCCCGCTAGTGTTGCCTAATGTTTATATAAGGGGTCAGATGTGTCGCGCTCCAGCTCGCAGTGCCGAGCCGATATTTTATATGTGATAAGCGTCACGTCGCGCGCCCGTGTCGGGCCGCCCGCGTCGGGCCGGTCCATGTCGGGTCGCCCGCGTCGGGCCGGTCCGTGTCGGGCCGCCCCCGTCGGGCCACCCGGCACGAGCGCGCGTCGACTTATGTTTCAACTTTATAAATCGTATCTTCACAATTCCTTGTTTTATTTTTAGTACGACCTGCCAGGTAACTATGTAGCCGAAAGATAATTCGATACGTGCATAACTTAACACATAGCTGAAAATGTGCACTCATGCATATTCAAATTTTATTTTATTTTTATTTTTATTTTATTTTTATATTTTAGGAAAACTTACAGCTAGAATTACAATTGATATAAGACTAATAGGTGAAGGCCAATTAAAAGTTTTCACTGCTAGAACAATAAGGACAACCCTGAACATGGTAGGATGATAGGACAGTAGACATAGGTATTATTATAAATGTAATTAGTTTGTTATGCTTGGTCGAAGAAAACGTTGCCCAGTTGTTTTTTAAATTTAGTGATACTATAAGAAAAAATGTCGATATCAACACTCCGGCATGCCGCATTATACATGCGACTCGCTCTGATCATGTATGAGTTATACCGCCACCTGAGGACCAGCCGACTCCTCAATGACTTACAGCAACCATATCGTGTTAACATTAGTGTCACTCTCAGCGGCTTGGCCACAAAATATTTTTCACGAATGTTCTAAATTTGTCCCAAAATATCAGAATTATTGTCGGTCACTGGTTCAAAAGTTGTAAGCGTTTATATGCGGCCGTCCTGGGCCGTCTCCCCAGCTGGGCCACGCTTGTATCTCTAACACTAGGGCACCTAGCGAAGATTTGTTTTCTCCCAAATTCAGTCGCTTATTAGACACTTTTCTACTCTTTTATCCTAAGTATAGATCATAAACCTTCTGTTATAAAAATAATAAATGATTAACTTAATACGCTAAAATTACGGTAACTTTAGTGAAATGTTTAAAATACTTAAACGTTGAATTAGTACGTATTGTTGGTATACTCGTAGTATAAATATATTGCTTTAAATATACTAGTACACGTGAAACAAAAAACATACATACCAATCTTAAATCAGAGTTAAATACTAAAACCAGTGCCGGATTAAGACAGCGCGGGGCCTGTAGCAAATTCTACCAAGGGCCCCTTGGGTTGTTTTAGGTTATCTAGTTTATGGTATTTATCATCATCCTCAACAGTCTATTGCTGGATATGGGCTTCTCCTTAGAAAGGAGATTTTTGTTTGCTATGCTACGCTGGCCAGACGGGTTGGTTATACCTGACGGGAGATGGCTCTTCGATGAGCACTCCCGACAGCTTACCCTAAAACTGGTCGGCACTGCGTCTGCTCTTAAGTGACTTTTGCCCAACCAGCATCGTTTCAAGGCAGCTGTACACGGGGTTGTCCAGTCAATGGCACTGTACGGTACCCCAGTGTGGACGGCAGTTCTGACCGCCCGGCATTAGGCGCGCATTCACCAAAATTATGTAAGTGCTATGATTATATATGTATTATCTCAATGTCTATTGTGTAGTTTGTGATGTATGTTAACTATTGTGTCATTATTGATTTTTATTACCAAATGTTAAGATTTAATATTAATATTATTTTGGGTTTGAATATAAAAAGCAAGTTTACTCAGCCTAATACAAAAAATGATTGCACGCCACTGTTAAAATAAGTCTGAGCTTATAAATCATATTTTATTCTGACGCCCTTAGAGGGCATTGGCAGTTAGAACCATGGTTATAGCACCGTGTCGACGCCTGGCCGGAACACTCTCGTGGGATTTGGGAAGGAAGTGCTCGGCCCCCACCCGAAGAGGAGCGCGAGGGGCGTAAAGCCTCTCGCCGAGCCACGATGGCTCGTTGGTCGGTCCAGCCTGGATGCTCCACGAGCTCGCTTTGCCGCCGTAGAGGCACTCCAAGTGGTCGTTGAGTTGAGGCCAATCGTTGAGTGGGCAGAGCGTCCAGAGCAGAGCAGGTTCTTTCTGGGTACGGCTGATTCTGCAATCGTTCGATAGGAGGGAATTGAATCCCGCCTGTCATCACTCCGATTGCAGTGAGGACGCGGCTCAGCACACGCGGGCATTTTCCTTGGCTTGGGCGTCACACGCAGCGTTGGGTCGCAGTGCAAAACATAATTTTAGAAATGTACTAAAACTTTAAATTTTTTACTTAACACATCACACACACGGCTGTATGTTTACTAACTAGGCAGAGCCTTTACCATTGTAACCAGACTGCTGATAAACATACTTATATATTTCTCAATATATACATATTATAGATAAATTACACCCAGACACAGAACAAATAATCGTGCTTATCACACAATTATTTGTCCTGGGTGGGAATCAAACTCACGACCTCTGGCTTAGCAGGCTCACTAACCACTAAACCAACAGGCCCGTCAAATTATAGTTTGACATTTAGATGCAACTCTTTCGTGATAAGAATTTTGGCTTTATTGATTTGAAAAAATATTTTCACACCGATCGAAATACGAGTAAGTAGATACTTTTTTACGGTCAGAAAGAGCGGGGGCCCCCAAATGCGCGGGGCCCGTAGCATTTGCTACTCTTGCTACGTGGCTAATCCGCCACTGACTAAAACACCTACCTAATGTGAGCACGAATGGGGTCGGGCCGAATTAAGCTTAGAATAATAAAACTTCTGTTGTCGATAAAGTTAACGAGCTTTGATTCCAACAAACATTTATAGTTAAGGTTATTATCAGGTTATTATCATATAACTCATTGACTTGTATAGCATCTACGATTTTATGAGCTCGCGAAGCTTAGTGTTTAATGTTTAAGGGTTACTTTAGCTCGACTGGTGATATTAAAACGACGTGTGGTTGTTACGCAGGTTTATTTGAAATTGAAAACTCAATCGTTCGACACAGACTGGACTGTAATGTTTAGATGAACAAAGCATATACATAGCTTATACCATACAAAGCTCTAATCAATTTGGACACTTAGTTTTATTTTCTTTAAATAAAACCAATCGTTCTCCAACAGCGCTAACTTGGTTTCGTTTCGTTTCGTTCGGTTAAACGTTCTTTAGGACTCTTTTAAAATTACATAGTTAAACCTCTGGTGATAGCAACGTGAAGATCTTTCGAAACGTTACCTAATCCCTTCCTTATTTATTTTTCCAAACACAAATTTGTTCTAAGTGTAAATTAGTTTTAAAATCAACATACAAATCCTACCAAAGATTATATTTTTTAAGTGTAAGTTAAATATAACAATATTACTGTAAGTGATAAAAACCAAATATTTTACAAGTGTTTGAAGCACTTAATTTACCGTCGGCGGAAGTCTGGCATGGATTCCCCGTTCCCCCGTTTTCTATAAAATTATACTGCACTCCTAATATGCACAACTTAGAAACTAAAATTAAATCTAAAGTCCTTGTTGTCTAAGTGTTGTTGAACTATCGATGTGATCCACCGACACTTCTTTACTGCCTCCACTGTTGGCACCTCGTATCTTTGCCGCAGCGATCCACTGGGCCTTGGTCCGTTGTACTCAAAAATGTCCTACCCGGCTCGGTAGGACCAATTGTTAGCTACCTAAGCTTAAGTTGGACTCCTTGCCCTAATGTAAAGACTAGAGGGTTTGCTAATGAATCACAGTCTATCTTTTGAACTGACTGGTTTAATTATCACATAAATAGACAACCTTGTTTAATATCAATATGATCATATTAATAGCGCGATTTACATAAACGAATCAACTCCATCTATCGAGCTCCAAGTGAAACATAAAAAAGCCTTTTTTATAACATCGATCGTAAACAATATAAAATGAAACTATGAAAATACAGTAAAATATGAAAAGTATCTAATTAATCAAAAATGTAGATACCCAAATACCTATTGGATATTTATTATTTATACTTATAATAAAAGAGTAGAAAAGCGTCTGTTCATTAAACTTTTTTTAGAAATTTTAACTTAGAATAACCATCATCACCTGCCTACCATTATCCCAATTTTATTTGGGGTCGGCGCAGTAAGTATGATTCTTCCATTCTACTCTATCGTCGTTCGTCATCTCACTGTTTACTCGCTTCCTAGCCATACTCACACAGTCCATCCACCTTTTCTTTGGTCTTCCTCTTCTCTTGTACCCCTCGACTCCCATACATAACACTTTCTTCGCCACATTTTCCTCATCCCTCCGCATGACATGTCCATACCAAGATAACCTACTACTTATTTTTTCATCCAGTGGCGCTACTTTCAGACTCCCTCGTATGTACTCATTCCTGACCTTGTCCATCCGAGTCACAC